TTACTTTTTATTGATATTGTGATCTAACACCCATAATAAAGGACAAGCGTCAAATTTTTAAGAGATGGGTTAAACAATCATATGGTTGTAATGCCCTCAAACTAACCTGCAAGTTCCTCAGTCCATTTACCCAGTCATGAAAATAAGAGTCATCTTTGGTGGTGTTAAACTACACAGTACCATTCTACTGAAACAGAAATGTGCATTGTATGTTCCTGCAAGTGTGTTCAGGAAAGTTATTCCAGATGTATATAGCTTCACATCGCCTTAAATAGAAGGGTTTGTCCTTAATATCATTTCATTGTTAGATATGAACCTTAATGCTTCAGAAGTTGCATAATTAGAACCTAAATTCTGATGATCAGTGCAGTTACACAGTGGGAAGTCCTTGTTATGTCTTACACTTGCTACAAGAAATACAACATATTTTTATCTTATGACAATCCAAAAAGGTAACAAGAGCTAATTAAAATAAGAAATATTAACATAAAAAATATATCAAACGGGAACCACTCCACCTACTAATCTTAAAGAACATCATTGATTATTATGAATTCTCGCAAGGAATTGATACATAAAAGGTTGCAGGAAGAACTGGTAAAAAGTATATTTTGGCCTCAGATCCTGCCCAAAGCCTTCACTGCAGTCTAACCTCATATAGTACATCAGCTCTTCTCCTTCTGTCAGTTCATCGCTGAAATAAGAATAAACAAACAGCTTTGAATCACAGCAACTGCCTCTTGTTGAAGTATGTCTGTACTGAGTGAGTAGATTTCAGAATTCCTTTATTAAGATTCTCTTTAGGAAATATAAACCAATATTCACATAAGCAGACTTTTAATTTTTAGCAATCCAACTGATACTGTAGGTGGCAGATCCTGGCCTTCCAAATGTAAGTATTTGCAGAAATTATATGTAGTGAGTATACTTTTTCCTAAAGAATCTGCTCTTACTAAGAGGCAGGAATTGCTACATGTTGTGCTGGACAATTTAAAATTCTTCTGAGGACTTCATAAATAAGTACGATACTGATGCTCCTATGTGGATTTCAATGAGGCATCATACAAAATCATACATCAATAATTCAGTCCCCAGAACCAGAGCCTCACAGTATCTGATTAATGTTGCAGCTTTGGGCTTTGGACTTCCTGGGTAAGTCGGCTGCCAAAGACAGTAACCGATCTAATGAAATGCACTGGGAGATGAATTAAGCCCAGCAGATTCCCATTGTGAGGAAAGTCTGCCGAAAAACTAAGATGGAAATGGAGGGGGAGAGAGGAGAACTCAATAGTGCGAATGAACTGAAAATTGGATGTGTGCTGCTGTCGATATAACTAAGCAGAGAGCTCATAATCTTTTTTCTTTACAGCACAAGGAAGCAGTTATATTTATTACTGCACTTATTTCTAATTCATTTTCAGTACCCACGACTTCTCAAAAGTAAAAAGAACTCAGAGGGTTTCAAAGATAATTATAAAGGTTAGAATAAAAAAAACATGCATGTGAACATTGTCTTCAAGGTATAAATACCTAGAAACGTCCACCTTGAGTAGGAAATGATGTTAATGAAACAGCATTAATCTGGCCATAAAGGGAAATTTTGTTACTTATTTATTCATGCCTAGAATTTTTCTAAGGATGGAACAAAAACTTGGCTGAGTTATGTGAAATGAGATGGGCAATATACTGAAGACTGTAAATCCTGCCTTTTTTCTCAGTAGAGACAAGCTAAATCTTTCTGTTTGAATTCAGTTCTGTTACAATAGATAAGAAAAATGACATGCGGGTGGAAAGATAGTCATTAAACATTGTATATTAGAAATCCATTTATAATTAGGAGTTGGAGTTAGTGAACATATTTATCACTGAAGACATTAAGCATTGTGGAGTTTATTTGTCTTTTAATCAGGAACTGGCCTGATAAGAAATAGATTGCCAGGAGACCATGTTCTCAAAAAGGAAATGGCAGATGGTATTACCAGGAAAAGTTCTGTATCACTGCCTACTATCAGCAGTATGAGTCTGCCAGTGTTTTAACATAATATTTTAGCTCAGTGTGTAATACCAGTCAGTATAAATTTGACTTGAAGCACTTAGAATTACATTAGCTAACACCTGTATTCCTGTCAGTAACATCAGTAAAAGAAAATGATCGGAAAACTGTGTCAAGTGATTCATAGTCAGTGGCTAGAATGCAATAAAAATAAAAGATGTGCTGTGAATAAACAAATAAATATGTATAATCAGCCACTAAGAAGGCCATAATGTCATCTTCTGATTAATTCTGTAATCCCACCCATGAGATCTGAACCACCTAACTAATTTATTTTAGAGAGGTTCAAATTGCAAAGTTTACTTCCAAGTATTCCACAGCGTACAGGCAGTGTGGAGGCACACAGAACTTTTCTTCAATCATTTGTTGGTGTTGAGTTTTTTAAATCTGCATATGTTAATGATCAGCACAATTAAAATATTATCCTCTGCATTTTGTCACAATTCTGATTTGTCTGAAAAAACATCAGCAGTTCAACTTTGATACATGGTAGTTTTGTCATTATGAAGTACAGCTCAGAAACCCTCTGCACCAGGTCCTCAGAAAAAGCCGATCCTATGTAGCTTCTGTTTTCAAAAATATTTTATCCTGAGTTAGTATTTGCTAATGTGAAGGAGGTTATGATTTTCACCCTCTTATGAAATATCAAGTAAAAAAACAAAAACCAAATGAAACAAAACAAAAGCAGTAGTATTTGTTAGTAAACTGAAAGATAAAGAGTATGCCACAGTACAGTGGGGTCAGAGAGATCACTGTGAACCCCACTCAAAGTGTACATTGCTGCATAGGGAACTGCCTTTATCTATACTAACATGATTCATCCTGTCATCCTTTGGATCTGTATGTAAAATAGGTAAAATACTACTCTATGCAACTACAAACCTCTTATGAATTCTCAGCAAAGCTTGTCTCTATGCCTTTCAATAATGTAGAGCAACCTGGCTTCCACCCACGTTTTAAGATATCCAAAGTTGTTTTCCTTAAATAAACCTTTTATTTTACACTACAGCTTCTTTCCTGAGATTTCAATGGTAGGGACTTCTACAAGGAAAGCTCAGCTGGTCTTCTCTCTCACTTCCTCTCATACTTTTGGTGTTATCAAGATGGGGATTAGAAACTGGTCACCTGAGGCATGCTCTGCATGCAAAGTTTTAACAGAGAAGAAGGATCTGTCTGATTACATTCATTTCCTGGGTGCTGGGAACCTAGATGCCATTTGTCTTGGAAATGTTCATGTCCTGGGGGTTCAGTGGTGATGTGATCTCCCAGTTTTGATTAAGGCACACTACCAGCATTTTTCTGAGAAAGACAAGTGAGAAAAAAATAATGGTTCCTTTAAAAGCTAAGGAACGATTTCATTCAGTGAAATATGAATGAATTTTTTGGGTCAAAGAATTTCCATTGTGGTATCCTGTACCAAATAGCCACAACTAGTACTTCAAAAAAGTGGAAGTACAGAAGTTTTTTTCCAGAGACACTTCAGAATTCTGTCTAACAAATTTGAAGAGCAATTTGAATGGAGAGATTGCCGTTATCTTTAACTCTTGTATCTCCTAGTAGATGTGATCCTAAATGGAGATGGATGTAAAGAGAGATGACCATATATATATAACTCCTTAATATAATCTGCATCATTTGTATATGCATTTTAATGGAGCTGTCTTTCCTGAAAGTATTTATGGAACCTTTGTCTTCCAGCAGGTCATACACTCTTGAATAAACTTTTGTTTTATAAATAAATATCCCAGTCCTAAGGAAAAAAAAAAATATGAATGCAATAACTTCATTATAATGGCAAATAGCAGAGTGAATGTAATCTGTTTTAAAACACTGTTGAGTGTTGCTGACAAATTTTCATAGCTGCAACTGAATTCTGGGTGTTATGATGCTTAGTTCAACCTTTTATTTACATATTTCTCTTCCCCCAAAATGCCATGTGAGGTTGCATCAGAAAATTAAGCTTCCCAAAGTCTAAGATGTTTATATATTTAATTTATGTTACATAGTTTCATCCTGATAAACACACAAAATCAAAACGTATGAATCACCTAGTCCTTCTGGGAAGAATTTCTCCACTTTATTCGTTAATGTTTCATATTTTACCCATTGTGGTGTTATTTGGGATTTTGGGTTTTGTTTTTTTTTTTTTAAGATGTCAGATGTGTTAAATGTCATTCTTAAATTACAGAGTTAACATTTTTGATTCTGCAGTTAAAATTAAAATTCTACATCTTTCTTACATATTTTCAAATAAACTGCATGGCTGAAATGCAATTTGATGTTAGGGCAACCAGAAGTGAGTTTAAATCCACCAAGGTTGTGGGTTTTGCCTTAATTTTGATATATGCTCTTCTATTTTCAAGAACATACAGGGAAAGGTGATGAGTGAAGGCCAGTTCACCAAATATTGGAACTTGCTCTTCAAAAATTAGCAGATTTTTGAAAGCCACTCCCTGAGTTTTAATGAAATAATCCTAGTTATATCCTGGGATCATAACACATTTTTTTAATCTGTTTTATATAGTGTTGTTAAATTAATAGCAATCCTTTTGTAATTTTTGTTACAGAAAATTTACCAATGCTATCTGTTATATTGCAATGGATGGAGTATATGTAGAATGTCATTGTCTAGTAATACTGAAAAGATAATTCAGAAAACTATAACAAAGAAATGTCAAATTAGGGGGGAAAAAAGTGTTACTGAAGTTGTGAAAGAACTGAAAAATGTTGCTAGTTTACCTAATACACATTTATGTCATACAGAGGAGGTCCTAGCTGATAATGCAGTGTGAAATCCAGATGTCTTTTACAGACCTTGCTAATTTTACAACTGTATTCAGTGGGTCCAGGATTTTATACATAAAAGCTTTGAATAATAGAGATTTGAAGTATTGCGGAAGATGGCTTTTGCACTTTGATATTGCATTGAAGACCTCAATGGCTTTTTTTAAGAAGGTGGGGGGGAAGTGTGATTGTTTACTTATTTCAATGGTTATTTATGTCCCTTATTTTCTAATACACAGGAATATTAATATTCATACTGCCCAGTGGTGCACCTAGTCTTTGGTTTACATTATTTCTTTACTTTGAATTGAACAACTCCTGGGATCATGCAAAGCACTGTTGTACTTTTTGTTATACATTGGGAATTATACATCTGGCTTTGGGGTAGCAGTTTAATTTAATAGACATTTAATTATTCAATCCATTTGTTTACATTTGTAGTTGGGCTTAATATTTATATATATAGCCCAAGACTGGTCTGAGTTTTCAAACATGTAAAATACAAAGGAAACTACAACCTTCACTATGTGCTTCATAGATTCTTTTCCAAATGGAAGTAAATTGTTCAGAAAAGGTAATAAAGCTGATTAAAATTTTCCATCCTGAGTTGGAGATAAATTATATTCTTTGCGTTATTCTTTTTTATGATGACATTTTGTACCTGCTGTGAAACAGATAAAATTGTACTAGAAGAGGGCATGTTTTTACTGTAATCCGACAAGAACCTGTTGAAATTTGAAACTCTCCCTTTCAAATTCTATAATTATGTAGTTTATAGTTAATAATTTGCATTAATCATGTCTTGGTTCTGTTACAAATCCTCTGTATTTGAGAAAATTGGTAGAATGTGGAAAATGTCTCATACATGAAATGCAAGTGTAAAACCTTCTCTGTGAAATAACATTACAAAATTGGATCATTAATTCTGTTAAGCACAGGGAGCGAGCTGCTGCTGTAAACATAACATGTGCCAAGTAAATTAGAGGTATTCGTAAGATTATATTGTACCAAAAAGAATAATTTCTATACTGTCTTTATTGCAAACTAAAAATTTTACTTTCTCTAACACATTATCAACAAAATCATATTGGTGTATGGTCTTGAGAGATGTAAGAGGACGGAGGTGATAAAGGTGTAGTGCCACTGCAGTAACAGTGTTGATCCTGAGACAGAAGAATTGTGACTGCAGTTTGATCAGACGTGGTCCTTCTTTTAGTGTATTCAAGTTGTCTGTGAGAAATCAGTGTCTCTGGAGACTAGTGATTCTTACTGTTCTCCCAACTTACTTCTGTTTGTGTTCAGTTTGGACCATTTCATTTCTAGTTGAAGCTTTATTTTATAAGCAGAGATCATACATACCTGGATCATTGCCAGCAGGTGACTAGGAGCTCAGATAAATTTTTCCCATAAAAATGATTATATGTGATATTAGGTGTCAGGAATTTGTGCCTCTCCTTGAGTATTCAGCAAGGTTGTTATACTTCGCATTGTGTCACCTCAGTATTTAGTATTAAATTCCTGCTTTTTTACATGTTGTCTAAATATGTTGGGGTTTGTTGCTTTTGTAGGACTTCTTTCATGTCACAACAAATATTAAGATGTGAATAATGAGTAAGTTATGTGACCTTATGTATAATTTGAATCTATTTATATAAGGTAAAATAATAGTGGGTGGAGGTGCTGGAAATCTAATCTATTTTAGTCATTCAAGCTTAGGGGCCCTATGGATAATAGCTTATTTTAGTCCACAGAGTGAAATCCCAAGTGAATGGAATGAAAAGATGCATTTCTACAGTTAGGAAACAAGAAAGCTAACAGGAAAGAAGAACATGGTTTCTGCTGAAAAAGATTGCATTGAAAAATATTAAAGGAATATTGAAATATTTCATGAGTTTATTTTCAGTGGAATTCTCTAAGTCTTAAGATGTCATCATGGTGCTTTATTATTGTCCCATTTATTGTGTAAGCTTTATGTGCTATTTGATAGCTATGTCATTTTTTAATATGCAAAGTAAATTTAAACATCTCAATATAAATATTGTAACATGTGGCTTCTTGTTTAATAATTAAGCATTAAAACTATATTTTTAACATGGGAATGAGAGATAATTCACACTTTTCAAAATTAAACTATTTCCAGAAACTATTGTGAGCATATGAAGAATATTTACAATTTTATCAGAGCTAAAGAGGAACAATTTACTTTTTACTAACTGCTCTTCATGAAACACTTCCCCTTCCTGTAGGAAGCAAGAGTGTGTGTTCTAGTATGAACTTACTGGCTGTTGTAATATTTGATGTTCTTAGGGTGGAGAACTTTTAATTTCCTGAACTTTTATTTTTTATCCTGCTCACATAGGCAACACGGAAGGAAATTGAGAAACGCCAGGTTCATCTTAAGAGCATCAGTGATTTAGGAGAGAATTTGAAGACAGTGCTGAAAGGAAAAGAAAGTCTAGTGGAGGATAAACTCAGCCTCCTGAACAGTAATTGGATAGCAGTAACTTCACGCGCTGAGGAATGGTTCAATCTGTTACTGGTAAGGAAAATACATTTGTTCACAGAGAGGAAATGTTGGTACCCTGTCGCAGGTACTCAGCCTTATAGGATTGCTTTTTCTGGTTAAGCTTATTGAATACATAGGTACAGAGACAATCAGATTAATTTTTGTTTAGCACATTATATATATTTTAAGAATCTGACTGCTTACAGAGTGATGGTTCTGTGGAGTCTTGATTGTTACTACTTCCCATTCTTGTCTGCCTCAGTAGTTCCTGGACTGTTTTGGGTTGGTTTTTTTTTTTCCTAATGAATAAAATGCATTTTCTCCCCATGGACTTAGATTACTTGAATATGAATCAACTGAAAGAAATAGTCAACTAAACTAAGTCTTGGTATTGATACCAACGACCTCAGCTGCTTTTGGCCACATTAGTGTTTCTCTTTGGAATAGAACAGTTGAGAAGTCAGTCCCCACTTGCCTGTTGGTTTGGTCCACAGGGTAGTTTTGGTGTGTGTGAACTAGACTCATTTCAGAAACAATTGATCAGGAGCTCTGCTCTGGGTTTACACCTAATGTGGTCATGGACTATGGTCTTTCAGAACTGCATGATCCTTCTTTGGATAGCTTTATAGTGCATGTTCTGGTGGGGATAGTTACTTAAGGGGACCAGATTAAGCCTAGTCAAAAGTAAAATCCCTAATACGTATTTAGTACAGATTCAACAGCCTCAACCCCAGCTGCTTTGAACTGCTGATAGTCACATAACTATATTCTCCCTTAAAATTCATTCTGCCATGAAGAGATGACAGCTTGAACCCTTAAACACAGAAGGGCTGCCAGAATGCATTGAGAAATTTTGTATGCTGTTTCAGTTGCTGAGACCATGGGAATGCAGTTTCAGCTCAGAGAAACTGAAGTGATTCTCGAGGTTGTGTTAGCTTTTATCATGACTTTTCAGAGCTTGATGTGTTGGAGCTCCACCAGAGTCTGTGTAGCTATGCTACAAATGCTTTTGTGACAGATATACAGCAGCACTACAGGGCTTCTTCAGCTGTATGCAGTATACAAGTGAAAGCATTTAGTCATGTCTATTCTATCTGGAAAACTTAAGCACTTCAGTATGATGTAGATGCTCAGCTTCGATGTGGAACTGATTATAAGAAACATATAATGGAGTTTATAGACTAGTATAGTTACATATTCCTCTACTTCCTCTCTGTCTTTGCTTTGGATTCTTTCAGTAATATTTACTAGAACCCATGATTGAAAGGTGTAAGAGAGGGAGTTGGTCTTTGCTGATTTTAGAACAGTGTAAAATAAAGGATTATACATGTGGGGACCAAAAGGACTAGTAAAATCTTTGATGTCAGGTGTGTGGTACATATATGTATTGTGTGGATACACAGAGGCCTCCTTCTAGTGAGCTCACCAAAAAAGACAAAATGTTTTTAAATTAAGGAGAGAAAAAAAGGTTTATCAGAATATCAACTAGAATAGTTTTTTTTTTAAAAAGCAGAGTCTCAAAGCGGAGAAGTTAGATGAGGTGTAAATAAGAGTTTACAAAGCTCCCATTCTTAATTGTGACTTTGCAAGTGCATCCCTGTTACCGTCTGGGTTTCAATCAACATAGTGGCTTTCCAAAATAACTTCTGTACCTGGTTCTTGGGAAGCTCCTCTTTCCACCTCCGGTAAGTCTGGCTGTGAGCTTCCTGTTCCTCTCAGCAGTCTGGATGAGCTGCAGACACCTGCGTCTTGCTGTGACTTTATCACTCTCCTTCCTGTCACTTTGGAAGCTTTTCTCTCTCCTAGAATGTCTTTTTAAAGAAACTTAACATACAAAGTGAGGGCAAACAAACAACAGATTCTATCCTTCCCAAAACAAGCACTCAGTGTATGAAATAAACAAGCTTAATTTCATAATGTACACGTGTTTGCCACAGTTGGCTTAATTACGGCTATTATTTCAGTTCTGATTACTTTTTTTGTATGCAGTATTTACCTTTTCCACATACAGGAATATCAAAAGCACATGGACGCTTTTGATCAGAATGTAGCTAATGTCACAACTTGGATGTATCGTGCTGAAATACTGTTGGATGAATCTGATAAACAAAAACCCCAGCAAAAAGAGGAAATTCTTAAGGTAAAAAAATGTGATTTTCTGGAAAGCATTAATTTTATTCTAAAAAGGACTGTGTCTAAACTAGCATATTTTGAAAGGTATCACAAATTGATTAACATTCTTTTTTCTGTGATAAAGCTACCCTCTGGCAGCTTGTAGATTACTTAATAAATTTGTACTGCATTACAAAAGTTAAATCCCTGCAGAAATAAAACCAGATATGTTATTATAAGTCTTAGGAAATTCCTGGTGAGTGGAACAGCAGCTTATTAAGCCTCTGTTGCCTGGAAAATACTCCTTAAACACATCTGGTTGAACAAAATCCTTTTTTTTCTGTGTTCATTTTTAATTGCTTTTCTGATTTTCTGTGATACTTTTCTGATATCTATGTTATCTGCATCTGATATCTCTGTCATATGATTGTTTTAATTCTATAAACACTGTTTGCGTTGATGGCAGTCCAACACCACAGACAAGAACATTATCTGGTGAACTAGCTGTATAATAAAGCGTTAGTGTATGATCAGAATGTTTTATTTGGCTCATTGCATCCTTTGACCAACCGATGAAAAATTAACTTGCAGGATAGATGTGAATTTTGAATTTTTGAAGTATCTCATTTAAATTACCATCTTTGTTAAGATTAAACAACTTCAAATTGTTATCTATATGGATTTTTTTTTTTCTGAAATCAGTGTGAAGTTTTACTTTGTATTGAACTCCATGATCAGAACATGCTATCTGAGGACCAGTTTGCAAATTAAAATCAGAATTGTATTGCTGCCACTAACATAATGATACCATTTACTAAAGCAAGACTACAAATTCCAAGGCAGAGCATAAATCAGTGCCTCATTGATCTCAGTAGGATTGCAGGACAGACTTTTGTAGTTGAATGAGCAATTTTGCCACCATCAGGTACAAACTACAATTATCTTTACCATCAATACAGGTATATATATTTGTACTGCACAAAGGCATTTCATACAGACGGTGAAATGTAATTCTTAGTATGTTTATGATTCCTGAATGCCTGGCTATCTTTTTTGGCCTCTGCCTGTACTGGGTTCTACTGTTAGATTACTGCTGCAGAGAAAGAAGGTATTTGCCCTCAGCTTTTTGTAATTTGTGATAGATTTATAGAAAAAATTCTCACTGGTTTTCATCTGGTCATTTTTCCCCACCTCAACTATGGGCATGAACAGTAATGAAAGCAACAATTATATGTCCAGTTCCATAATACATGAATTAGCAGCTCTTCTTAGCTTTAGGAACATAAAACAATTTAGCGTATCCTGAAATACGCTGAGGATTGTATTATTGCAGATAAGAACCTGCCTAGAAATAATGTTCACCATCAATTTTCTCGAGGAGATATTAAAACAGACATGTAGATACATTCCTTCTACAAATTTGAGGGATATGACTGGGAATGTTAACTGATGTATTTCTACTGGATTTACACACTCATGCATAATTATCTGAATTTGCTTTGTGGTTTTGCTCCCTATTCCTTTGCACACTCTCTCTCTCTCTCTTTCTCTCTCTTTGCATTTATTACTAACTTCAAGCCCTGTCTCTTGCTCACGGACTGTAGCGCTTAAAGGCTGAGCTGAATGATATGCATCCAAAGGTGGACTCTGTGCGTGACCAGGCAGTAGACTTGATGACAAACCGTGGAGATCACTGCAGGAAAGTAGTAGAGCCTAAACTGTCAGAGCTCAACCAGCGATTTGCAGCTATATCGCAAAGAATTAAGAGTGGAAAGGTAGGAGGACTTGCTTCCATACGGAGATGAATATAAAACAGTATTTATATAAGGTGCACAATTACAACTACATAGCAGGCTGCAGTTTCCCCAAAAACTAAGCTTTAAAGGAAAAAAAAAAAAAAGTGGATCCGAACAATATTCTTTTAAAAGTGTGGGGGTTTTGACATTAAGATCTTTTTTCACTGTTTCACAATTAGAATATTCACTGACTTTATGTGAAAGTAACGATGACTACTTCATTAACTTATAAAGAATGAGCAACACCTGGTAATCAGTAAGATTCTTAATATTCTCAAAGTATGAGTAGCCTTTTTTTTGTTTTTTAATATAGATTGGCTTTTGAGGGTTAATTTTTCATTCAGTGCACCTAGTCTTTTCCGATGAGGCTGTCACTTACCAAGGTTTGAGATATATCTATAGATGTGCATATATATATACACACACACAGATTGTATCAGTTATACTTCAGCTACTCATCTGTACAACTAGTTTGACTACTGAATCTGGATTCAATATGGGTTAGGTAATTTTTAGTTGTGACTTCTGAATTGAAATGAGGGAGGACGTAAGCCACCTCCTTTCTCCATTGTATTTGCTGTCTTTATTGCGGAGAGCTCTTCTGGCAGATTAAAGCAGGCAGCCGTGCAGGTTGGTATGTAGGATAATGGGAATGCATGGAGCTTGATCTTAAGCTTTTTGCTGGCTGGAGTAACAGCACTGGAAATGAATGGACGGAGGATGAGTGGCAGAGCAGCAAATAAGCTTTGCAAAAAGCATAAGCAAAGAGATATGGTTTTCCTGAGTTGTTTGGGGTTTATGCAGGGCTCAATACTCTGTTTAACCATCACATTCTTTGTGGATATTTGAGTTTATTCAGGTTTCATTTCTGGAACAGGAAAGAATATGTCTTACGATTAAAGGTCATCTTTTTTTTTTTTTTCCTATTGGCCATCAGTAGTACTTCAGCCATTCCAGTGTGCTGCTCCTCACTTACTTGTTACTGAAGTACAGGCTGCAGACAGAGAACGTTTTGGCACAAAGCCCAAACCACTCTGTTGTGTGACATGTTCATTCTGAAAATCTGCTACCTGCAGCCTGGATTTTCTTCTGAGTTTTACCTTGCAGTTCCACAAGACTGTAAGCATACAGGGCTGAGGCAGCCTTTGATAGGGTTGTATGAAATTATTTCTTGTCTTAGGGAACAATGCAACTGCCTATAGATGGTTTATCAGGGGTTAACTAGTTGCATTGCATATTGTGGGCTCACTCAAAGAAGAGGTAAATGGTGCTTATCAAGGTGAAATATCTTCAGAACACAGCCTTCAAACACCTTCCACCTGGCAACCTTCTCTCTCAGGTGTTCTCCCATTTATGATTGTACAGGCAAGATGAGCTGGAACGGCAGCACCTCACTATGCATTATACACCATGTACCTATCAAGAAGAGAGGAATTACTACAGCACATGATTTTAATGGTAAATTAGAATGTAGGGGGCCTTTTCCAGGACCCTAGGGAATGGACACCTAGGGTATGACTCGCAAAGGATATCTATAGTAGTAGGTATTACATAAGACAGAGAGGCAGAAACTTGGCTGAATTCTTGGCGGTTCTACTGACTTGCTGCATGCATTTGGATGAAGAACTAAATTGCTGGGTGCCTTGTTTTGTCCACCTGTATAATGTAGGTAACTGCACTTCTCTTAGTGCAGTTCACCTTCATGGGCTGAAAAATTATTCTTCTTACAGGGTGATATTATGCTTCCTAAGTGTTTTGGGTTTTTTTCATACTTAGGTAGAATTACACAGTGAATAGTAGATTAAAAAAATCAATTCAAGAGGATAGTAAGCTTTCATAATGTATTTTCAATCAATTCTCATCTGTTTTCAAATTAGCTATAGTTTTTCAAATACTAACAATTATCAGTACAACAGTGAAGTAAATAAGAAATGACCTGTGAAGTCAGTAAATGGTAGTACATAATTGTTGTGCCCTGAATTAACAAAATTATCATAGTGTGTTAAAATGAGATTTAATATTTTCAAGTGGTCTTTGAATCTCGTTCAATTATTGGAATTTCATTTAGTATTTTTCCTTCCATTTTCCATTTTGTTATTGTTTTCAGCATTTGGCAGAGATTAGTAATTTTATATTCCAGTCTTATTAGTTGGCTTGTCTTTTAGTGAGATTTAAGTACTTTAGAAGATATCCTTCAGAGCATTTGAGAAGAAATTACTGTGTAGTTTGCTATTATTTATACCTCAGTTGAAGTGCTTGCTGAGCTTCTTGATGAAAATTTGCGAGCACAGTTTTATTCTCCATAAATATCATCATTAAAACAATCAACCGGATACAATTAAGGCATTTTTACCCTAATTCTCCCAGGCCATCTTTGTAACAGCTGAGAACTGATTACAGTTGATGTCCGGTCTCTCTTGTTTTAACTGATTAACTTTGATTGTTACCATTTTCGCTACAAACTTTTGCTTTATAGTAAATACCAATTGAACTGGAGGGAAGAGTGAAAGAGAACTGATTAGAATATAATGTGCTTATGTCATTAGTGAGAAGACAGTAGTACATCTAAGAGTTCCAAAAACATCATAAAGCATGAATTACCTTTAAATCTAAATTTTATGCAAGAATCATCAAGAATTTGCTGCTTATTCTTGCATTTAAAGCTTTGAAGGAAGAAAGCTTTTTCTGTTGATCCTTTGCAATCCACTCTGTAAATATACTGCATATTGTACACTAAACTATCCACAGGCGCTGGGGTATCAGATAGATAAAGGGCAATGTATTGTTGTTAATAAGTAGCACTTGTTTTAGAGTTTAAAACTCAACACTAAGCTAAAGCACCATAATTATAAAGTGATTGATTTTGGATTGATTGTCTATTTTGTTTGATTGAGGAGGCTTTGGTCCTGTATTTTTGTTGAGGCTTTTTTGAAACACAAGCTCTTTTAGTGAAGTTTTGTTGATTTTTTTTTTTTTTTTAATATATTACAAAAAAATGCTAGGGTAGTATCTTATACAAAGATTATCTGTCTTTTGTTTTGTATAATTCACCTGATATTTTTGCTCTGCTTTGTGAAAGCAAGGATTTCAAAATGCAGAACCAAATTATCATGAAATTTTTCTCAATTGGTAGTAGTAGGGGGGGTTTCATTTGAATGGATTGCTTGTTGCTGTGTGAGTAATTTCTGACAAACCAGATTTAGCCAAGTAGTGTCAACATCTAATTTTTTAGACAAATCATTATGTTACACTGTTTATCTGAACCTGTTCTTACACACAAATGTGAGAATATATTTTTTTTAAAAAAGTTCTCTCACCATAGAATTCTTATTTTTTACTGTATGGAAATTATATGGTACTGCTAAATGCCTGTCTCTACTTGTATCTTTCGGTACTTTGAGCTGTACGGTGTAGATATTTTTCCACACGATGGAAAGTCTACCATTGTTTTAGCAATAGGGGGTAGAACAGAGGTCTCATTTCATTTATGTTTCTCATAAAACTATTAAGTATGTGATTTAAATAAATAATCTTTGTATTTCTCCCATTTTAGCCCTTCATTCCTTTGAAGGAATTGGAGCAATTTGACTTTGATATACAAAAAATGCTTGAACCACTGGAGGTTGAAATTCAGCAGGGAGTGAATCTGAAAGAGGAGGACTTCAATAAGGATATGGTAAGTATGAAATGGAAGTCTGAGTGAAGTAGACAGGGAGATAAAAATAATTGAGTGAAAATTAAAAACTTCCTTATTTGTGTTAGGGTCTTTAGATATGACTTGGACAAAATTTTACTGTGCTAATGTATTATAAAATCAAAGGTCTCCAGTTAGCGTAAACTAAAAGTTTTAGTGATAAGTTCATTGTTAGTTTATAAGAAAAACATTTTTTTACCCTTGTGAAAACGCTAAACAAAACAGGAGTATTTTCTATGGGTCCTATACTAGTGCCAGCGATATTACAGAATAGAAAATTAATATTAAAATCTCTGTAGCAGTGTAAGGACCAAGAAAACTCAGAATGATGTATCTAAATGGGCAATATAGTAAAAGATGACATTCAGTAAGAACAAATGCTAGGCAATGATCATTGAAAGAAATGCCACTTGCGAGTTAGTGCTTAACCGATCTGATTATACCATTTATTGTAAATAGTTTTGTGGCTGCGGTAAGCTTTATTGCTCATGTTTGCTCTTTGCAAGTAGTAAAACCATTTATGCGTATTTGGGGAGGGGGGAATAAAAAAGAGAGGAGTAAAATACTGCTGTGCTTTTCTACTGTTGCACTGTGGTGTGTTTTCTCCAGAGCACTTTTCAGAGGGGGGACATTTCTTGGGTAGGAAATAACAAATTTGTCTTTCGGACCGTCTCTTTATGACTCCTCAGCAAGATCAAATATCTGTTTCTTTACAAGCAATGTAAAGAGTCGATAATTTTTTTTTCCTTTTAAGGAATTCTTCAAAGATAACTATTTTATATGAGTGCTGAAAGGAATCTTTACAGGACTTTTGTTTTTGTTTTTGTTTTTTATGCAGGAAAAGTAAAATTTAAGGCAGTATGTAAATTACCACTGCAGTGCTAAATTCTGGGTGAATCAAGTTTGACGGGGCAGTTTTCACTACTTGAGCATATTGCGTTCCCTTTCTTTACATAAAATGTTTAGTGTGGTTCAAGAGATACGCTCCCAGAAGCTGTGGTGTAGATTCAACTTCTATGTGAAAAGTACTTAGCGGTATTGTTTTCCCTACCAGAATAGCTGTTTTGCATTGTGATGATACATAAAATAGTCAGGAATTACATGGCCTCCTAGTATACTAGCGATTTCAGTGACTACTGACAGTGATTTAGATTATTTTAGATATATCTATTCTTCTTGTTTTAAAGTGAAATATATTTTACCTTTTTGCCTTCAATGTTTTCATCCTGTTATCCTGGATGCTGCATGAAATCTAATATCAAACATCTGTAGGTTTTCAAGTGCTGTTTTACTTGTACCCCTCAAGTGTCCACGTGTATTGTAGAAAGCAAGTAAAAGTTATTTTGTCTTCAGTATAGAACTGCAAGTAGCTGTTAGATGATTACCTTGGCAGAGGAAGTGTAGTTTTATATGTCTGTATCTCCTAGTACTTAAGTAATAATTAGATTAAAATGCTCATTATACTTGTTATTTTTTTTTAAATCAGAGTGAAGACGATGAGAGCACAGTGGAAGAATTGCTGCAAAGGGGCGACACGCTTCAAAAGAGAATCACAGATGAGAGAAAACGGGAGGAAATAAAGATAAAACAACAGATGTTGCAGACTAAACATAATGCTCTCAAGGTATAGGAGCTACAATTATAGCACATGCTACTAAAACCATTTTTTTGTTCATTTCGGTGCATTGTTCTGTTAAATGAATCTTCATTACTATATAGAGATGAGTAATTTAAAGCTATTTGGCTATAACCATGTATTTTCTTATATACTTCTCTCGATGCCTTGAAAAAGACGTTTTAAATCTCCAGCTTAACAAGTACTGTTTTGTCCTCTGTGTTGCAACCGTGTGATTGCCAGTTGGACAACAATGATTTCTTTGATAATAATTCCTTTTTTAACACATTATGCATGTTTTATGTTTCTCCGACAGCAGTCAAGGCCTTAGTTAGATCAATTCTCACAAACCTATATTTTCAGTTGTATAACGTAGTTCTGGCAATGAATAAGTTGTTTTATCCTTTACTAAAAGATTTACATGCTATGTTTTTTAGCGGGAAAAGTGGCTCCAGCATCTTTAGAATAGGGTAGGTAGTAATACCAATAGACCTAGCAGCTAAGAGGCTAAAAAGCAAAGTCACATATCAAAATTCTGTATTACCACACTTCTGGAGGTATAGCTGTATGATACTGTTCCCAGAAACATCCTCAGTGAGATCTATTTGGACAAGCTAATAGTGGTAATTGAGGGTGTCATCTTTCCAGAGGAAAAATAAAACTGAGGAAAGAAAGAATCTTTCAGTTGAAAAGTCACCTTGACCACCTACCTTAGGCTCTGCCTACTATGGTAGAATTTCTCCTTTTATTGGCAAGCAGAATTTTTCTTTCTTTTGAAAATTTTGATTAAGTTGTTCCTGGCTTGGGGAACATGGCATAGTTACATTTTATTGTTACTTATTTTTAAGTAGCATCTTTCCTTTCCTGTGGATTTCATTTTAACTTCTACAGTTTTGCGGATCTGTTTGAATCTAGTAAAAGACTATCTGGACTATACCAAAGTTTTGTCTGCATTTAGAAGAAACTTAAAATCTATTAGGTTTGTCTTTGACTGTTCCAGGTTAAATGGAAGTAATTCATAACTTTTATAGAGGAGAAACAAGAAAAGTATTTCTAGAACTGGTGCTATCGACCAGATCCTTACTGGCTGTTTTTATGGAACAGAGTGATTGATTTTCCTTTGGGTGATGCAGTTAAGGCATTCAGCCTTGTCAAATAAAATTCAAGAATGGTTGAGGCAAATTCATCTGAGTATTTTTGTATAAAATGTACCAGTAATTTTTTAATTTACTTCTTAATAAGAAGTTACAGTAATGAAAATATTTTCTGAATTCTGTATAAGCCAAGTTAAGTAGTTAAAACAAATGCAAATGGAGTATATTTAATAATATTTATATGAAATAAAATATTTTTTTACCTTCTTGTTAAAGAGAAGTTTTAATACTTTCTTAAAGCTGAGTTATAAACACAAGACATTTATTATGTAAAATGGATTTAATTTAGAAAAAAGAAACCTGTCTTTAAATACATTTCTGCATTGAAATGATTTTCTCTTGACTAGCTACAGAGTTTGTATGCAGGCTAGAATTTCACAGGAGACCACAAACACAGGAAGCCCACTTATGGCTTGATACTAAGTGGGCTGTGTTTCCATCTGTCCAGTAAGTATTCTGAGCAGAAGCATTTTATAGAAAATACTGACATTTATGTAAGAATCTTAACTTGGTGACTGTCTCAGGGGTATATTCAACATGTGATCAACCCTGAATTAGGTAACCTCCTTTAAAAGAAAAAATACTCTGTTAAACTGATGAAAATATGTTGTGTTCAGTTACTTATATGTTGTTAAACTGAAGAAAATACGCTGTGTTGAGATATGTATATACTTGGTCTAAGTATCAACATTTAATTAAAAAAATAGTGGCCTTGTACACTTTTTTCCCTTCAGTGTGCACACATGCCAATTCATACCTTATAAGCCTTTAATTCATATTCTAATAATGTCTGCACTGTGAACAGGACTTGAGATCTCAAAGAAGAAAAAAGGCTTTAGAGATTTCTCATCAATGGTATCAGTACAAGAGGCAGGCTGATGACCTAATGACATGGCTGGATGACATTGAGAAAAAGTTAGCCAGTCTACCAGACCACAAAGATGAGCAGAAATTAAAGGTAATGTTGTTTTGGGATGGCAATGGTAGATCTTTTTGAGTGATAGTTTATCAATTTAACAGACAGCAAATGCAACAAATATTCCTATAGATACGGAAAATTATCAGTTCGGCTCTTTATTTCTATTTATAGTAAAACAAACCCTAATTATCTGTCTTCAGACTGACATTTTTTTGTTGTACTATATCTTGTATTTGTTTGTTACACAGAATGTTATATAAATAATTTGAAACTAAATACATTTTTTTGTCGATAATATGGAAAGTGTGCAATGTATTAAGAAGCATAAAATGTTTTCTAGTAAAAATTGTAATTGATTTTATGTATCTTTGTTCCAGATGAACAAATGACTTACCGATATATGGATGACCTCTATCTCATGTTAGCACATTCATTTTCATCAGAACATACTCATATGTCACTGTCAAACTCTATAGATTTATTTACATACTGTCAAAGGTTTTCCTAGTTTGTTTTGCATCGTCTTTCTTTGCTTCATTCTCTGTTGAGTTTCCCACAGAGTAAAACAGGAGAGTCAAATAATATATTTGTAAGCTGTCCAAACACTATTTGTCTTGAATATGCTGACCCTTATTGAGAAAAGAATTTCTCCAATTGCCCATCACAGTGTACTAGCAAGAATCTGGAATTGGAAACTGTTGGCCTTTGCTAAGTAGTTTTCAGTGTGCACTAGCTGGTAGTATCACTACAGCCAGTCTCCAAGAAGGTTCTTCAATTTCAGTTATTTTTGTTTTGTTTAAACGTAAAATAAGACATGCAAAGCTGTAAATTTTAATTGAGACAATAAAATGGAAATGGAATTTCTGACAGAAGTATTTTGCTAATTTGAAGTTGATGGATCTAGTTAGCTAACTGTCCTGGGCCCTGTATTGGTTTTGCTCACTAGGAGATTGATGGAGAATTGGAGAAGAAGAAGGAAGATCTGAATGCGGTGCACAGGCAGGCTGAACGCCTGTCTAAGGATGGGGCTGCAAAAGCAGTGGAGCCAACCCTGATACAGCTCAGCAAGCGCTGGCGAAATTTTGAGAGCAAATTTGCTCAGTTTCGAAGACTCAACTATGCACAAATTGTGAGTTGTTTCGGGCAAACCCATATGTTTGCAACTGCTACTACTAACAGCATCCTACTAACAATGAGAGCTTCAGGGTCAGTGTCAACTCTTCAGATATTAATAAGAAAAACCCTATTGTCTGCAAGTGGGGGAATCTTTATATTCTAATACAGTAGTTCTCTGCCTTGGTCTTAAAATTGCCCTTAAGTTAAATCAGTCAATTAGAAAAAACTCAGCAATGAAAACTTCCTGCTTATTTCTGTTGCCTCATTATTTTTCCATAACATTTTCCAGTTTAAAACTGTCAGTTTGCCATACCTCTATTTTGTTCAGTGAACGTGTAAAACAGAAAAATTGTCTGTCTCAAACTACCCATCCCATGCCAATTTTAATTGTTTTTTTATTTGTCCGTAACATCTTACAGTCACTTTAGGAAGAGATTAAAAAAATTATTATGACACTCTATATATATATGGCCTCTTCTTCCAATGCTTTAATTCTCAAAGGAATTTTTGCAAGAAAGTGTACTTTTAAATTTGACAGAATGAAAACATAATTTTATGAACCAACTTCATGTCTTCTGATTTTAAGTTGTTTAGTTGTATATAAAATAGAATTATTGTTACTGGTTTATACATGCTGCAATAACTGGATAAATAAAAGGGAACTAAACTGTCACTATTCCAGGTTTATGATCAAAATACATATCGGGTGTTACCCATTTTGACGGTTAACAGAGGTTGCTTTTGCACGTGCACGGCATTTTTTCCTTGCCATTCCTACTACTCTGCTCATTTGCTTTTGATTTTATCTGAAGAAAGATAAGATTTGCTCTCAAGAAAGTTGTTGCATTATATGCTCTTCTGTAATCTTAAAAGTGCTAGTGGTAAAGGGGTGTTTCAATGAAATAAAATCCAATTTATTTATTTTGAAATGCACCTAGGTTGCAGAGGGGGGCATACTGATAGGATAATGAAAATTTAAATACATGAAGTGGTATTTCTAATTGATATGTGGTCAACTATGTTTTTAAAAAGAAAAAACAAGTTCCAAAAATCAGCAATAGTGTATCACCTGTTGGTCAATACAGCCCTCTATTTAATGTACTGAGTGTATTGTGTGTTTTTAATTTTTCTACTCTTAAGTTACATAATGTATATATAAAAATAATAATTGGGATAGCTATGCAGTTAATGGAGACAATCAGAGAAACATTAACTTTGATTTGTATGTTATTAAATCTTGTTCCATCTGATTACTCTCTTCAGATTACTATGGTTTATATTAAACTTGATGGATGTAATCAGTTGCAAATCGTTTATATTGGCATGGAGCTAGAGCAGCTTCACTTTGTCTTGTAAATGAGTCCTTTTTTTATAATGAATATAATTATAATTTGTTCCTTTGATAAGCAAGTAAGAAATAGGAACGTGCATGCAATTTATATAAAAAAAACCTGCTGTCAATGTGCTTTTTATGTCACCCACCACCTACCATGACAGATGATAAGTATATCCATTATAAAATTTTACTAGCAAATCAATAAAACTGCATATTAGTATATTTTTCTTTTAAAAAATGTAAGCTAGATGCATCAGCACATGTGCTTTTGAACTGGTCAAAGGAATAGGGTGACCAACTTTTTAAAGCCATGTAACCATTACATGCATTTTTATTGTTAAAATTTATTACTTATGTAATATATTTCTATCCTTGAAATGGTTAAATTTTTAAATATTCTCAAATATTTCATGCAAGAAAGCTACTTGTTAGTATTTATCTGGGGTATGAGGTCATTATTCAATGAAATTTACATGTGTACAGGATAATTACTGTATCCTTCTCATTTCTCATTAAAAATATCTTGCTCTGTTGACAATGACCAAGGTGATATTCATATGAAATATTTCAGAAGTTTTACAGAAGCTACTGAAACTGGTGACAGGCGGTATATTTCATGGCTCAAATCAGAGTGAGAAGTATATCTGCCTTGTTACTGTTTTGGTTTTGCTGAATCAGTGAAAGAAAGTGAATTTCTCTTTAGTACTTTTTTAAATTTTTTAATACAGCCTAAGTACCTACCTCACAGGGATGTTGTGAGGATTAATTAATTGTTTGTGCAAGACTTGAAAACACAAAAGAAAAATGAAAATTCAAGCTATTTAATCGAATATATTGCATATACCAGCAATAATAACTTTCACGGAGATTTTCTATGTTGACTATCAACTGAATAAAAACATATAATAAAAATACAAAAATGAATTTATTTTTAAAGCAAAAGAAATAGAAAACTGATGCATTTTTTATTTATAATTGATGATGTATTCAATAACAGACTTTAAAAATTGAAAGTTGTTATTATAAATCAATGAGGATTTAGTTGTACTGTGTATCTTGCAATTCATTATGGTTCATTGAATAAACATAGCAAGACTGCATTGAAGAAGACCTTTAATTATGTGGCTTAATGACAGATTTGCATCTCTTACCTTTGTTTGAGCTGATACATTTCTGATATCACTGTGAAATCAGAATGATCACGCTCCCCTGGATTTTACTTTTCCCCAATATTTGTTGGGAGGACTTGTCAGAAGGACATAGGAACCATACAAGAGTTGATTCTGTCTAGCATGGTAGCAATGTGAGAGAGTTGGGGTGGTTCAGCCTGGAGAAGAGAAGGCTCTGGGGACACCTTATTCTGACCTTTCAGTACTTAAAGGGGGCCTACGGGAAAGATGGGGAAAAACCTTTTAGCAGGGCCTGTTGCAATAGGACAAAGGGTAATGGTTTTATAGAAAAAGAGGATACGTGAAGAAATTTTTTACACTGAGGGTGGTGAAACACTGGGACAGGTTGCCCAAAGAGGTGGTAGATGCCCCATCCCTGGAAGCATTCGAGGCCGGGTTGGACAGGGCTCTGAGCAACCTGATCTAATTGAAGATGTCCCTGTTTATTGGAGGGGTGTTGGACTAGATGACATTTAAAGGTCCCTTCCAAGCCAAGCTATTCGATGATTCTATGGTAAATTCTCATAAAATTCTGATTGTCTTATAAGTATGTAGCAGTAAATATCCAGCAGCTAATTGAGATGTATATATGGGTGTATATATACATAAAAAGGAATTTTCTGTTACCAATTTTGATAATGAGGTATGATGTAGTTTTATTACCTCAAACACTATATGTTCTGTTTACTGCCGATTTTGAAACATTATTCAATTTGGTATAGTGGTCACCTCTTTATGTAAAAATTGTCAGAGAATAATGTGTCATATTCTATAGGGAAGAAGGTGGGTTTATTGCAATAACAGAGTAAACATGGTACACAAATAAATAAATACAACTGCACAAAATCTAAAATGACACTGAGTGGGAAAAAGGCTTCTGAGTTCCTGTATCTTGCACATGTCTTCTCCCACCTGGTATCTTTGTTCACATGTGGCAAAATAAACAGTGCTCAGAAAATTCAGTTTTTCAGTTGAGCCGATTTCTGATTCCTGTATGAAGAAAAGTTTAGCATTCTACTTCATTTCTGCTAAAAATTTCCATTTAAAATCAGTCAGTAGTAACTTCAGTTGTGAAATCTGAATAATTTATTAGAGAGTGGAATGTTTTACCATCGTGTTTTAAAATTATGATTGACTACTAAATCCCACTGACATTCATAGAAGCTTAAGATACTCTTCAAAAAACAAGCTATTAAATGTCAATCCTAGAGCAGTATGCAATTTTTGCATATTAAAATTACATGCTTGTTTTTTTAAAAAATCATTTCAGTAAAAATTATAGCATTAGAGAGGTCTAGGGCCATTAATTTCTAGATTATCTCTGCAGAATCTAAAGTCGTTAAGCCTTGGCAGTCACACAGTATTTTCACAAAAGTTATCAATCCCCTTTGCTACAGTCTAAACCTAAATGCTCCAGTTACTATTTTTCTGCAACAGCCTATGTCGCTGTTTCAGGGTGATGAAAATAGTTATCTGTTACAGTGAAAAGGCTAGATTCAGATAGTTTAATTCAAAGCAGGACCAAAATCAGTTACTGATATATCGATTACATTTCATTAAATTAGCTTTAGTTAATGCTTGTTTTATAGAATTTTTTTGTAAATAGTAAGACAGAGTATTTTTAGGACAAGAGAAATATTGTTCGTGCAATGGATTGACAACTGTCAAAATTATGTACCTATTGATGGATATTCAAACTTAAAAAATAGGCTTACCTAAGTCATTTCAGTAATTTCATTAGTGACACACACAAATATTCTGTTACTACTGAAATATTTGGGTCTGGATTTTGGCCATATTGGGAAAAATAATAAAATTAATGAAATTATAAACATCAGGAGAAACTCTCTTTTTCATACTAATTAGAGTATGCATTGAATAAGAACGAATAAGGAAAATATCTATACAAAACATTTTTATTTTTATAAGGTAAGTGATTTAGTCCAAGCAGATAAATAGTTATCTGCAACACGGATAAAATACCAGTACTCTTAGTACTTATTATGAACTAAACATCAAGAGCTGCATTTTTCCAAATAAAAGACATTATTCTGTTTAAGATTCTGTAAAGTGTTCAGAAATTCAAAATACCTGTCTCCTAACTGGATGATCACTTTGGGTGAGAGAGTATGCGATCAACATCTGGAACCAGATTAAGGACTGATCAAGTTCACATCTGAAATTCAAGAGTTTGCTTAAGTTCAATCTTTTGAGGGCATCTTGCAATTTTCAGTTAATGTATTCCTGTGGAGCTCTATTTAATTCATTTAATTTTCATATTAATTTAATTTTTTTTTAACTGTTAAAATATATCTATATATAAAGATATTTTCTAAATCATCAATAAAAAATTAATTGAAATAAATCTATCACATTTAGGTAAACACAGGACTTGGTGTCCTAATTAACTGTCTGCATCTAAATAACATGGAGATTTCAGTGGTAGTGTGCTACCATTGTTTTTGATCGTTGTTTTCGACAGTTTTCGCAACCAGTAGCATTGGAATT